CTGTTGACTAAAGCGTCTGTAGGAATGTAGGATTCTAGACAGTACTGTTTTGATGTTCATACAGCATACCACAACACAAAAGGAAAGTATTCTGTTTCTGTTTAGATTCCATCCTGGCTTGGCTTATTCCAACTCCAGGAACACTGTTTGGGGTAGAGGCTTTCAGCATATCCACCCACGTATGGCAGCACAGGGCTGTGGGAAGAGGTGGGAAGACAGGCTGTGTCCAGTGACAAAGGACTTGTACCTACCTTTGCATGCAGCAAGGCCTCAAAAGTTGTCAAGATAAAGTGAGGGTCTGGTCACCAGACTACTAAGATTCTGAGATACATCTTGGTAATTCCCCACCACAAAGCAGAGAGGACTGGACTTGTATGGAATCTTTTTGGAAGTGAGTGAGACAGAGAGAGCACAGTCAGTTCTATAGAGAATCTAGTTCATTATTTTCAAAAGAAGGAAAGGAAAGGAAAGGAAAGGAAAGGAAAGGAAAGGAAAGGAAAGGAAGATGGTAGTTTTAAAACAACTCTAAATCAGGCCAGGCATGGTACGGTGGCACATGCCTTTAATCCCAGCAGCTCTCTAAGAGTTTGAGGCCAGCCTGGTCTACAGAGTGAGTTCCCAGGCAGCCAGTGTTCACAGAGTGAGACCCTCTGAAAAAACGCAAAACAAACTAACAAACAAAAATGTTCCACAGTATCCAGAAGAGAAACAATAAAGAGAAAGCATAAACTTTGGTGCCCAAGGTTCAGGATTTTAGTGTCAGTATGTCAACATTTTGACTACATAATCCCATAATGGGTAAACTTAAATTCCTCTTTATTGGGTTTCTTTGGTATGTCTTTTTTATTGTTTTGTTGTTAATGTTTCTTAGATAGGTTGTCACTTTATAACATAACCCAGGCTGAGAGCCTCCAACTGATCAGCCTCCTGTCTCAGCTTCCTGAGCTCTAGAATGGCATACCACTATACCTGGTTTTGTCTTGTTTTTCAATCTATAAGATGATAGTAATAATGATGATGATGCTAATAATACCAACCCAAGATGGCCTATCTAACAACAATAAAACAATATAAATAAGCTACTGCAAACAAGCACAACCAAGGATCTAAGCTTGTTCCTTGCGATATTATAGCATTGTGGGGCTCAAATATTACAGCTTTGCCTTCTGAAAAGTGTGAAATTACCCTCAAAATTCAGACAAAGCAAAACAAAGGTGGCTTATCTCTTTGCTCCACATCTGGGGCTTCAGCAGAGTAAGACTCCATGCCTGGGGGTATCTGCAGAGTTGAGGACTGGAATGCTCCAGAGGCATTTATGCACAGAGCTGACAGTTAACCTGGAGCTACAGCTAAGGACCCACAGGAGGTCAGACTCTTCATGTACCCCAGCTTCCTCTTAGTATGGCTACTTCAGGGTAACCAAACTTACAAGGCAGGGCTCCAGTGCCTTCTGTTCCAGTAAGCGAGTTGAAAGCTGTTTCATATTTTGTGGTCTAGCTCCCAAAGTCACACAGCACCACGTAGGCTGTGTTTTTTTGGATACAGGGAAGTCACTGAATCTGGCTCAAATTCAGAAAGAGGGTATCCGGATCCTCTTTTTTTTTTTGATGGAAGTTGTGTCAAAGAATTTCCAGCCTTTTTATTCTTTTAGTTTTTTTGAGACAGTGGTTTCTCTGTGTAGCCCTGGGTGTCCTGGAACTCACTCTGGACTGGCCTCGAACTCAGAGATCCTCCTGCCTTTGCCTCCGAAGAACTGGAATTAAAGGTAAGTGTTATCACCCCCAGCTTTTTTTTTCTAACTGTGGGATTTTAAATGCCCCCAAAGAAGTCTCAGATATCTAGATTTGAAGACAGTGTCCTATTTTACTTTTCATTGCTGTGATAAATACCATGACCAAAAGCAACTTGGGGAGGAAAGGGTTTATTTCAGTTTCCAGGTTCTAGTCCATCACCTAGGGAAACTAAGACTGGAGGGAGGAACCCGGGAGAAACCCAGAGATACAACTGCAGCAGAGACTGTGAAGAAATGCCGCTTGATGGTTTGTGCCCCATGGCTTGCTCAGCTTGTTTAAGTTATTTATTTATGTATTTATTTATTTTCACAGTTGAGAACAGCTTTAATTGGTGACAAGGAAACAAGCATAGAGCAGGAACACACAAAAAAAAGACCCCACACAAAGCTGAAAAAATCTAGTGTCTTCTTCAGTCTCTGAAAGGTCTTTCTTCCCTAATTTAGGGCTGGTCAGTTTAAAGAAAAACTTGGTGGCTGATGGCCTGCAGCTGGTGTGTAAACCTATCCTGATCTGGTTTTGAGCTTGTCAAACCAGTCCATCAGCTAGGGGGCCCACTGACAGGAGAAAAGACCACAAGGCCCTTTAAACTGCTATGCTTTAGTCTCAGGTCAGGAAGGTAAGGAAGAAGCTGGCCATCTTGAAAGTTCAACATCTTTATAACCTAGGCATGGTTCTTCTCCCTATCTGTCCGCCTGCCAGGGAATCTAACTCCTAGCCCCGCCTCCTTCGAAGGACACCCTAAGGGCTCTTAGGGGCCTGGGACACAGGTGGTTCTTACCTGCTGACAGAAAAGGTGAGAAGTGAGGAGCAACGGTGACTCAGAGGAGAGGTAATCTAAGGGCTCACGGTAAAACGTCGGTCCAGAACATACCACAGCCATTTGGTGACAGTATATTCTTGACGTGTGCTGGGAGAGATGTTGCATCAGCAAAAGATGCCTCGGGCCATCTGTACCACAGGCAATGTCCAGTGGAAGTGGACAACAACCTGAGTGAAATCCTGGTTCTATTTGCTGAAGTCACAACCAGACAGTGACAACCTGGATGAGTTGGTGGTCCTCAAAAGGAATCCTGGATAAGGTCTCAAAAAATGGTCCCACTTGGGGGTCTTGATTGGGTTCCTTTCTCTGCCAGCTAAAGCATTAAAAGGCAGGAAACATCTTGAGCCTGGCTGTGCCTGGAAGCAGTGGAGAAATCTGGAAGGCAGCAAGGAGGAACAGACAGAATCAGCAGCTGAAGAAAGGCTTTTATTGAGGGTGAGGAGACACACACATACAGCAGGCACACTGTTACCCAAAACTAACCAGGGGTAACAAAGTTGGGCGAATGGAAACTAACAAGAAGGCACATTAATGGATGAGGTCAGCCATCTTGTGAAGAGACAATCATGGAAGACACGATCACTGTATACAGATGGATGCTGAAAGGGCTAGTGTTTAAAACGCAACCACTGAAAATGTCTTAGAACTTTTAGTGTTATAAAGAAGAGATATAATAATATATTCTTAGGAAATAATATTTTTAAAGCAAACTAGGACAGTTAGGGACTAAAAACAAACAAAAACTCCAAATCCTGACAGTTGGGTTTCAAATCAAGAGGGGGTCCCTTGCCTGGTTGCAGCTCTGTTTTACTGCCCTTAGTCATTGTATGTTTTTGGTTATTTCTCAAAGGTGCCTTAAACTAGCGCAGCTTTGATAACATTGTCCCTATGTTCGTCCTCCTCTCCCCTCTGTTCTTCAAGACAGGGTTTGTTTCTCTAGGCAGCAGCCCCGCTGTCCTGGAACTTGTTCTCTTGCTCTGTAGACCAGGCTGACCTCAAACTCAGAAATCCACCTAAAGGCATGCACCACCACCGCCCAGCTGGTTTGTTTTTTTTTTTAAATCTCCTTTACTCGTATCTGTTAAACCAACTTCTGACTTAAATGTAGTTCTCAGGGGAACTTCCCTACTTGGAAGAGAATTCCAATGACATTGACAAACACAGGATGGTTATTTGATCGGTAGCAATTTTTTTTCACCATACAAGAACTTCAAGTTTTGATTTGCCAAGCAGTCACACGTGTGCCTCTTACCTTGAAACAGCAGCATCAGCTCCCAGGCTGATGGAGACCAGATCAAATGCACAGACATCCTGTTTGAGAAACTTTCTACCTCTCAAATCTTCCTAAACACAATAAAGAGGTTAGTGGTGACTGCCCCCTTTCCATCAATGTAAATGCACACACACACACACACGCACGCACGCACACACGCACACACACACACACACACACCAAGCTCCCGTGACTCCATGTTGAGTTACTTTGGCAGTTAACTGCACACCCTCAGGAACATGTTTTTTCTACCGCTTTCTCTTTTCTTTAACATACACCCTCTCTCCATTATTCCCTTCTTTTGGGTAAATGTATTTTAAACAATAAATTGGATTTAATTTAATTCTGTAACTTGGACTTCTCAAAGATAATTTAACTCTCTTCACCCATTTTTAAAAATACATAGTTTGTGGAGAAACCTTGAACCAGAGTCTACAAAATATTTTGAATGGTTTTTTGTTGTTGTTGTTGTTGTTGTTTTGATGCTTAAAATGTCTATAATGCTATATGCTTTTCTCATACCCTAGTGCATGGAAGAAGCCGTTGACACTAAGCGAATGAGACCAGTCAATAAAGACACTGAAAACCAGGTTTTAGATTTTCATTTATACGCACTTCAACTGATCAAGTCCTTTAAGTATGCAAACCACATACTTAGAATTTAGCTGCTCCAAGACGTATTTCTATGACATTTGGCTTGGCTGATGTTCCAACCTTGAGGTTTTAGGCTTTTGTTTTCTAACGATACCTAGAGCCTCTTTGTAACGGCAGTGACAAGTAATATAGGCTTCCCGGCCGCCTTCCTCCCTCTAGGATTTTAAGTTCTCTTAGAACACCACCCCTGCTCTTCTAGTAAAAATCCCACATGACAGAACAGCCTGAGGACCGAGGAAAAGTAGGAAAGCGGAGCCATGGAAACTGAGCGGGGGAAACGTGTGAGCGCGCGGGTGGTTGGAGGAGAAGGAACACTCCCCTGACGACGGCGGCGCGAGGGGGCTCCTCGGATGACGTCACGCACCCCGGTGACGTCACGGCCGTGACACGCGGGTGACGCCGTTGCCGCGGCGACTCCTCGTCGTCTCCGCCCCCTCCCCCTCCCCCCCTTCCCAATCCCCTCAGGCTCGGCTGCGCCGGGGGCCGCCGGCGGGTTCCTGAGGTGGCCTCCGCCCCGGCCGCTCCGCCCACGCCCCCCGCGCCTCCGCGCCCGCCTCCGCCCGCCCTGCGCCTCCCTTCCCCCTCCCCGCCCCGCGGCTGCCGCTCGGCCCCGGCTTGCGCTTCGAAGATGGCGGCGCTGAGTGGCGGCGGTGGCAGCAACAGCGGCGGTGGCGGCAGCGGCGGCGGCGGCGGCGGCAGCGGCGGTGGCGGCGGCGGCCCCGAGCAGGACCAGGCTCTGTTCAATGGAGACGTGGAACCCGAGGCCGGCGCTGGCGCCGCGGCCTCTTCGGCTGCGGACCCGGCCATTCCCGAAGAGGTGAGTGGCGGCGCCATCCCCCAATGCTCTCGCGTCGGGGGCTCGGCGGGCCAGTGTTTATGTGAGGGACGGAGGCAGCGGAGGGAGCTCCGGCTGTGCTTGGCAGCCGGCGGGGATGTGGATAGCGACCGAGTGTCCCCCACCGTCCTGTGGCTCTCCTCGCTACGTAAACACACACGGTGGCCCAGGGGGGTTCCCCGGCCCCCACCCAGATGGGGTTGGGGCAGCGGGGACGGAGCTGGAGCCTTTCCATAGGGGGCGAAACTCTGGGGCTGGTGGAGAAGGTCACGCCTGGCTGGGGTTTCCAGCCCGGCATCCCTGAGATGTTTTCCTTTTTGCTAACCGGCAGGGACGGCGTCGAGGATGGAGCATAGTGGCCGGGGCACTACCCCTGAGTCCCCCCAGCCCTAGAAACTGCCTTGTGTGATACTCCCTGGATGTGGGCATGACGGAGCGCCTCTCTCTCCGCTCCTCACTATCTTCCTTTTGCAGGCCCTTAGCGCTTTCCCACTTTTCTACTTGTTTGGGGGATTTCTCTCGACCGGATTTGCCCAGGGGATGATTTTGGTGGAGCCTTTACTTTTTCAGCCACCAAATGTGATGTTCCGAAGATTTTCCCATCCCGGTCTCTGATCTCCGAATGATAGTATTTGCCAGTGTTCCCATGCTGACCCGTAACCTCCATCCCATCCTCATCCACTAACCCGCTCATTCCCCAGCTGTACCTACTTGCCTCTAACCTTCGCCTCCCCTCAAGAGCATGTTTGCGCTTCTCTTGCCCTGGTCCTTTGAGGCCCTCTCTACTCCATTCCACCGCTCCCTCACCTCGTTATCTATTGTTATCTTCACAAATCCTTCTGGACACTTTGGAAGCTACTCACTCCCTGAACCCCGAAGCTGTCAAGATTCCATCAGGTTTCCCTTGCCTCCTTGCTCCCTCGCTCTGCTGGCAGTGCGGGTTAGCCTTCCACTGTTCATTCACACCTCTTTATTGGCATCTTTCGTGGTTTTTTGTTTTGTTTTTAGTGGGTTTAATTGATCTGTGTCGTTCCCACTCTCGTTCCATTTTTTTTCTCTCTCATGTTTACCTGTCCTTTTTTGCTTCTCTTAACTTGTCCTTGCGTCATTTGATGTATTACATTGTCAGATTACTTCATTTCTTCTCTTCTGATGTAAAACTGACTACATTTACAGTTTGAGCATTGTATCACATAAACAATGCCATATTTTGCGAATAGTTGATGAGTGTGACTTAATTTTGTTGATTTTGCTTAAAGATAAACCTGTTACTTAGGCTTCCCAGTTCTCATACTATCTCCTTTCTTATCTCTGCAGTAGTCTTTATCCTGCTTCGTTTACTTGGAAATTCATCCTCTATTCTTGACCTATCATTAGCTGTCTGTTCACAGTGATGTTTTCCAGCCTTGCCATCTCTGCCCAAAATGTGTTCAGTATTGTCATTTGAGCTAGCTTATTTCTTTACATTCCCTCCCTCCCTCCTCCCCCCTCCCTCTCATTTTGCTTTTGAGACAGGGTTTCTTTGTGTAGCCCTGGCTGTCCCAGAACTCACTTTGTAGACCAGGCTGGCCTCACACCCACAGAGATCCCATCTGCCTCTGTCTCCCAAATGCTGGGGTTAAAGGCCTGTCCCACCACCGCTCGCTTTTTCTTATGTCTTCATTCGAAATAACTCCAACTTCCATTTTGAATTTATGCTCAGGTCAGTTTCCACTTGACTTCTTTATTTCCTGTAGCTTCTTAGATTCCAAGGATAAAGCTCTTCCCTTCATCCATTTCCTAGTTCAATCTGTTTCCCTTATCCCTAGTTACCATTCATTCTGTCTTGTTTCCTGGCTTTTGGTACTTAACTTGCTGAAGCTTCCTCTTGTCTTCCCCACACCTCCACATTCCTTCTTATTTATAAACAACTTTGTTCCGTTGACATGGAAATTTATTTTTAGGATACATTGTTTTTAATGGAGAAATGCTAGGGGTCACATCTGCTGTCTATTTTCTCCAGGAATCGGATATGCCTTTTGTCTTGCAAGGCACAGGTGCCTCTGGGCTTCACTTGACTCCGCAGTGCATGTATGGTTCTTGAATTGTAAAGCTGCTTGAAGACTATTATAGTATGAGGAAATTAATGGATAAAAGTTAAAAGATGATCATTCTCTGATATGACGCTAATTTGAGAACTTTGTTTCAGAGTTTATATTTCTGTGTGGAAGACTTTGTTATTTACTTGAGGGAGCTGGATTACTTGGACCCCTTTCTCTCTGAAGTAGTGAGTGTGTTAGGGCTATAACTTTCTGTTTGACACTTTCTGGACATTTCCCATGTACCGGTGCTTGAGAACCTCTAGGCTAAGTGAAGTTAAATTAAATCAGCAATAACTAACTGAAAGCATGGTCATATCTTCTGGAACTGTATTCTTCATTTATTTAGTTAAAATACAGATGTTCCCTATTGCCCCCCTCCCAGGGTTTAATGTTTGATGATGAATAGTTGCCTTGTGTAAAAGATGATAAATATAATTGGCTGGCAGAGATTATGATTAAAAAGTGGACCTCTATTGACTACAGATACAAGTATTACATGTAGCAAAATAGCTTCTTCCAGGAAATAGTATCATGCAGCCCAGGCTTTTGAGGAACTCAGCATGTGACTAAGGCTGTAGAACTCCTGGTCCTTCTGCTGTTACTCTGAAGTGCTGGGATTACAGGTGTGTGTCCCTATCCCCAGCAAGAAATAGTTTTAAATTGACATTAATTCAGAGGAAACTTAATATCTTGTGGTCTTTTAATTGAACTGCCTTCTTTATATGAACTTAAAAGAATATCTTTAATAAGTACATAGAAAGATGAAAAATTGTGCCTGTGTGTAATGACATATTTTGTTCTAAATTTTTATCTTACCTGGGTTTTAAAAAAGTTTGTCAGAAATTTCAGCTGCACCAAAAACTAATTACAAGGGGAAAACCTATCCATTATTGAAAAGTAAAAATAATAAGTATAAAAAGTACAAACTTTGTGTATAATTGCCATAAACATTTGCATGTATTACAACTAGACTTTTTAATGCTTGTGTAATATATTTTATATGTAACTTTTAAAATATAATAGTCCAGCAAAACTTATGTTTCCCTAGGTAAAGTATAATTTAACTGATAACTTTTTTGGACATTAAGTTCTTTTTAAAAAGATTTCTGTTATTATATATCTCCAACATAGAATGTAGACAATGGTATCTAAAATTATGTTGGAAAATGAACAGATTTCATGGCCTGTATTTCTATTACTGTATGGGTACTGAAAATAAAATGTTCTGATAAATGTTTATTAAGTGTTGTATTATTTTGCTTTTAAGCATTTACTTACTTTCTATTTCCTTGGTGATACTTTCTTCCCGAGACCATATGGTGTGACATGGTACGTGGTATAATATTACCAGATGGTTAATAATAAATGCATTTATTATTTAAATGTGTGCTACCAAGGTGTGATATTTACTACCTGTTTCTTTCATGTTGTGTTTCTGGAGAAAGAGAGTTTCTTAAAACTGTAATACAGTTAGTATTGTATTACTTTCTGTTTTCAGGATCTCTTAGCCAGTTTTGGCTAAGCTGTGTAATTATAATTATGTATTGGCTAGGGAATATTCTAGGATGGGATCTGCATTATAATGAGGTCCACTGTATTAAAATACTTCTTTGTGATCCTTGTCAGGTTAGGTTGCATCATACCTCTGAAAAGTGATACTTTCACCAAAGTAGGAAGGTGTATATGCAGAAAGTTTTAGCTATTGTTCTTAATACTTGTTTAGATATTTGCAAAGGTTTTGTTTGGAGGGGGAAGCTATAAAATAACTGTCTTCAGTATTTCTGTATTGCTCTCTTGCCCATTTCCTGACTTAACACTCTCACTTTAGGCATTTGTCCTTTTATGTAAAAAAATTATCTTGTATCGGTTGCTTATATATGCAGGCAATCCATTGTAAGTTGACCAAAAGGAATGTTGGGCTGGTGCTTGGATTATGGAATGTCTTTAACATAATTGCAGATTTGATTTAATTGTGTTTGGAGGCCAGAAAGATTGTAGTAGTACAACAGACTAGAATAATGAGAGTTTTCTCTCCCCCATTTTACTGATAGGAAGAATAGGCCTGGTAGCAGCTAAAAGATCTATTCTTTGAGTGGCAGGGAAGAAAGTTAGTGTTGTCCTCGCTGTACTTTGGTGTTTTCTAAGACTTTACCTGCTGAGTCACACAGTGGGGCAACCGCTTCTTCTTTTCCACTTTATCTCCAATCATAAAATTGCCTTCTCCTTCAGAGCTGCAGAAGTGCATTTTGTTCCGCTGACAACTTAATATTAATTTAAGTGAGTACTTAGTGAGCTTGTTGTCACAATCCCTCTCTTTTTAAAAGTCTTGTTTGCTCCTATCCCCAGATTCCTATGTCAGATCCGTATTAAGATAAGCCTTTTTGTCAGCAGCTTTTTACTAGATTTTGGCTTCCTCAGAAGTTAAATTGTTTGCAGCCCTTTATTCTTTCTCTTTGCCTGGTTCACCTGTGTTCATTCTTCAGTAAAGCCCCAATTATAAATAATTATAGAACTTCTGCATTCAAAATAAGCAGGCCTGTTTGGGAGTTTTTCTGGTTTTGAGGTCACGCTGTACTTTCTTTATCTTAGTGTTAGAGATAACTTCATGTTAATATAACAAGAAATTCATTCCCATTGATTCGCATATTCTTTCTTTAAATAGTTCATGGATACATTGACATGTTTTGGAAGGCAGTTTTTTTGTTTGTTTTTAGTGTTTACTAACCTAATTAATATCATACTTAATAAGCCATGATAGTCAGGACTCCATACCTAATTTTAAGGAGTCTATACCTAACACAGTCTATACCTAACTTTAAAGAGTTATTTTTTTCTCCTATGGTTATTTTTGCTTTCTAATGTTTTCTCTTGCTCTTAAAAAATCAAAAGCCAGAAACATTA